TTCTTGTTCATCAAATGTAATTTCTATTATTGATAGTTTCTTAGTTAAATCAAGGTCAGTGGCTTGATTTCACATTGAAAGGAAGAAAGGTTGGGAATGTTCTATTATTGATAGTTTTAAGAAAGATAGTTTCGTTTTGTTGAAGTCCCGTCGAGGGGGTGATCTTTGTTCTCGATTGTTTGGAGGGAGCCCTGTTTCTGAGTCCTCTTTTCTTCTTCCTGTTAAGTCCTCGCATGGTTCCTCTTTCATTTGGAACTACTTTGTGGTATTTTGACACTTGGTTTGGTGGATGGCTTTGATTTCTACGAGCCATGGTTGCTAATGGTCAGGGTGTTGGGGTGTTTGCTTTTCTTCTCTGTTTTGTCATTGGCAAGGTGAATGGGTGGATTGTAGTCCAGATTTCTTGTGACAGGAATTTTTTTTTTTTTCCAAAATGTTCTGCTGTTTTCCCCTTTTCCTCTTTCTCGTGCTGCCACCTTCTTGTAGCGGGGTATTTCATGTGTTTTCTAGTTGAGAAAGAGCTGGAGATGATTTCTGGTTGGACCGCTGTTGCTCTCGATTTCCTGCCGAAGGTTTCTTCCGGCTGATTGATATCATTCTTTGCTCCATGGGGTTAGCCTTGTTGTGCGGTTTTTGAGTGCAGCTCTGGCGAGTTTGGTTCTTCGATAGAAGGGTTCTTGGATTGCTTATGGTGGGATTTTTTTTTGAGAGGCCGAGCTTTTGTTTTCTGTCTTATAGTGATGGATCATGTTTTTATCTTTTGATGTAGTCTTGACCCTTGAGCTTTTGATGCTAAAGTAATATTTTGTAAGTAGTTGGGTCTTTTGGATACATAAATAAATTCTCTCATGCTCACTGTATCATTCATGTCATTTTGAGTCTTCTGCCTTTTAAGCTAGACTATCTTTGAATAATAAAAACTATCTTTCAAGAAAAAAATCAATAAAAGAGCTTCAAAGTTTCGACAAAGTATTCTGGTTTCCATCTTTGAATGTTCATTTATTGATACAATATATTGAACTTGAACACGAATTAGTTAATCTATTTTCCATATTTGACAATGCTTAAGACAATTATTCTTTTAATGGTTTATTTTCATGGTATGTTACATAAAAGATTATATTCTCTTTCAGATACAAACAGGGGCCAGAAATTGGACTGTCCAATTGATATTGACCACATGTTTCTACCGAAGTCTTGGACACCATTTGAAGTAATGGAGCCAAACATTTTTAA